AGGTGGGGGTGCTGTCTCTAGAAGTCTGGTAAAGCCTGTGAAATAGGCCTCATTCCAGAAGAGTTGCTTTAAATGCACAAAATAAAATACATAGTGTTGCAAAGGAAATATATTGAAATTCAATTATCAAAATATTAAAAGCAATTTACAAGACTGTAATCTATGTGCTTTGTTATTAACACAATAACACATCTAGCAGCAGGTCTAATAACTTCATAATATCATAATTATGAAGCACTGATTAGTATAAACATTTCAGGATGTCTTCAACAAAAATAATATGCTATGAGAAACATAATCTCTTTTGGTACCACTAATAAAACTGTAGTTTGGTATCAGCCTTCATAATTGAAAGAAAAGCTAAAGTTCACTTAGAAAATAATAATGTAATAATTTTTCTCATCCAAATTTACAAGATCCAGGTAAAAATTTCAGGCTTCTAGTATTATAAGATCAGAGGTTCACGAAATCATTCCATTCAGTTCACAAATTGTTGACCAAGGGCAGGTAGACCTGTTTTGTTTGACTGGGATTCCAAGGCAAATACAATACAATACAAATTCAAATACAATGTGGAAGCTTCCCCTTCCACATCCAGTATGAGTTCTCTGGTCTTCACAGACACATAGTCTTAACTCAGGTGTGTTCTCTACCTGACTCCTATAGCCAGCGACCTCTTTTTTTTGTTTGTTTTGTTTGTTTGGATTTTGGTTTTGTGTGCATCCACCTCTTATATATGGCATTTTCCATTTCATGATAACCCTCTACGTGGGTGGCACGTAATAGAGATTTGTTTTCTAATAAAGGGGAGAATTCCATTTGCATACCTTCTGCCATTCCCATCTAACTTGCAGGCTTCCACTCAGCTATTGGCACACTAAGGCCTATCAGAAGCCGCCTGTATTTGTAAATAATTTTTCACTGAAGCACAACTAACCTCATTTATTTACATACTATCTTTGGCTGCTATGGACTGTACTGGGTCCTCCTAAAATTAACATGGTGAAGTGCCAATCCCCCCAATATGATGATAGTTGAAGAGTCTCAGGGAGATAATTAGGATTAGATGAGGCCATGAGGGTCCTCATGATAAAATTTAGTGCCTTTATAATTGGGCTTCCAGGTAGCTCAGATAGTAAAGAATCTGCCTGCAATGCAGGAGACCTGGGTTCAATCCCTGGATCAAGAAGATCTCCTGGAGAAGGGAACGGCTACCCACTCCAATATTCGTGCCTGGAAAATTCCACGGACAGAGAAGCCTGGGGGGCTTCTCTGTCCATGGCAAAGAGTTGGACACCACTGAGTGACTGACACTTTTTTACTTTCACAAGAAGAGATACTAGAGAAATTGCTTCCAAACTCTCTGTCTACCACATGAGGGCACAGCAAGAATCAGATGTCACCAAACCAGAAATAAGAGTCCTTACTGGGGAACTGAATTGACCAGCACCTTGATCTTGGAGTTAACCTCCAGAACTGTGAGAAATAAATTCCCATTGGTGAAACCACCCAATCTATGGTGTTTTGGAATGGCAACCCAAGTTAAGACAGCTAATATCATGCTACAGTAGGAGGGCTGAGTAGTTGAGACAGGAACTATATGGCCCTCAAATATCTTCTTGCCAGAAAAGTTTGCCAACTCCTCCTCTAGTTTTTGGATGAAAATATTAGTTACAATTCTAGAAATTTTATATTGAGGGACCTAACAATGGTTAGTGGGAGCTATATTTGCATAACAAGCATCTTGTTTCTCTTTAATGGAGATGGAAACAAGCAGCTAACACGCTATCACATTCCTCCTACTGCAGCCACCGAGAACTACACACTATAAAAAACTCCCCACTGAGACAGCTTAAGTGCTTATGTGGCCAGAGCTGTAAATCTATGAAGGCTGAAAATCTGGGCCCCAAATATGCTCCCCCAACTTAGTAGGAGCACACTCTTAATTAATGGTTATGATAGCTAGAAGACATCAATGATATGCTAAGGACATAGACTTGACTCTGTAATTCGCAGTGAATATTCACTTCAAGAATGCTTAAAATAGTAGCAATAAGAACAAAATATTTTTTGTTAATAGTTTAATGGGGAAACTATTAGTGGAAGTGTGTCTGTGGGATATTGTTGTGGGGGAAAAAGTCAGCTATTTGAAAAAGCAACATAGTATAAACTAAAGAATATGGGCTTTAGAACAGGCAGAGATGGATTCAAATCTAGGCTGTGACCCATAATTTATGTGGCATCCAGCTATCTCACTCTCAGAACTTCAACCTCCTCACCAATGAAATGAAGATTATATTGCCTCATTTGCGGATTGTCGATATTTAATTCGATTAATTATATGTAAAATATGTTGTAGTACATGGATATAAAGTAGATTTTCAAAATGGTGGCTCTTCTCATGAATCACAGGAAGATATTGTCTCAGTTTCTCTTATTTATGAAAATACTTTTATCTGAGAACAAAGTGACACTGATGAGAAATATACCTGAACCGACATTCAAGTTACTGACACCGTTCATCAATTACAGAAGGGCAGGAAATATTTTTTAAAAACAAGCAAACAAAAAACCTGGCACACATTTTAACAAGCAACAGGTTATTAAGGGAAGAAGTCATTTGATTTAACTCACACACTGGCACCTACAGAAGCAGGTGCACAATTCCTGGGTCCCATTAAAAAACAATACAAGTTTTCTGCTCTACTTCTATGCCTGTCAGAGATAGACATGCTGCTACACACACTTGGCTCTCATAACCAATGTGTGTGTGTGTGTGTGTGCCCACACACGTGTGATATGCATGTGCTCAGATGTTTGAAAGAGAAAAAAAAAGATCATAGAGCTTTGTGATGAACACATTTTGAAGAACCAAAGTTTATTTTGTCTTTATTATCCCTCTTTGAGGGATGCAATCATTTGCATTGCAAGTATATCAGTTGGTTATTTAATATTAATCCCTCCCATGTGTTTTGAAGGGAAAATAACTGCCCTTTTTTCCCACAAGAATATTATAAACATCAGATGAGATAATGTATAAACAATAATACTTAGAGGAGGACAGTGACAAATAATATCTGCCCTGAGGACTGTAAGGACAGATCCAGGTTGTGGTAAGTTTGTAGTATGTGGGAAGATTCTAAAACTGGCAAAAATGTATATTGGGAAGATTTAATAAGATATGAGTTTCAAATATCTACCAGGCAGCCGTGTAGAAGAGGAATTTGCCACTGGAAAAGTTAGAGCACAGAGTGAAGAGACATATTTCTGTGTAATAGACAGGACTTCAATCTCCCTAATGCAGGAGAAGGTGCTTTGTTTAGTTCATATTTGGCACCAGTCTTCCAGGTTTATCATTACCTTAAATCTCAATTACTTGTACAAAGAGATGTTTCACATATTTGCATTTCACATAACATTCACACTCGCCTGTCAGCTCCTTGAGCATAAAGACTGTGTTATTTAGGCCTCATGCTCTCTATAGCTCTTTACATTTTATCTTTCAGGTTGTGGATGCCCAATAACTATTTGTTAACAAAATATAAACTGAAACTGCTTTTCAAATATAAATCAAGTGTTGTGATACTAGTATGAATATGACTCCTGCAGTCTTATCCTCTCTTAGAACCCCGAGTAGAGAATTATATTGATTTGCTTATGCTCATTTCTATGTTGATGCAGTATAGATGTTAATTTGCCACTTAGATTGATTTTTTTTTCCTCTATGTTAACTAGCAGGAAGGTTCTATTTAAGGGGTTGGTGGAAGGGAAGGCTTGTTATTTCAAAATGCTTCACTGCAGACAGGCAATCATCTTAGATGAAATTCCTTAAGTGCAGTTATCCAAACGTCTATTTCATTCTTGGCAGTAAAATAGCCCTCACAAGTGTCCAATGACCTATAAATCAGAGCTAGAAGAATTCTTTATGCAAATTAAATTTGTGCCACACTCATCAATAAAAAAGAAAACAGCAAGAAGATTAAATTTGCAGCAGCCACACAAAGTAAGGGATTCCTGTATCTATTTGTAGGATATGTCAGTATGGCTTATTATTTTTTGAGATAGTGTGCTTTGAAAGAATTAATGGGGAATGAGCTTTATGAATTGATTATTAAATGAGAGGGAGGGTGTAAAGAGAGAAATATAAAGTAGGCAACCAGTGTGATTAAACTTAGAAGCTTTAAAAGACCCATATAATAAGGTAAGAGACACTGATATTAATTTTACAGCAGTATTATAAACCCCAAGAATTAACTAATTATATTATAGCACAGTTTGTTTCTCCTCATTTTTCATTTTACATTTAAATAATAGATATTCAAACCTTTATCCAACTATCCAGGTTTTTACCACTCCTTTAAAAAGTAAGCAAAATAAAAAGAAAGTGGGAAAATTATATCACTTTACATTGATGGGAATGTACTACTACAAAATAAAATCACTATACCACTCTTTAACTAATAGAATATAATGTACTAACCCTCTAGAGGCTAGTAAGTGGACATGGATCCAGACAACTTACCCGTTTTCTTAGATTGCAAGTAAGAGTGAGATTCCTTGAGAATGAGTTTGCAAAAGCTGTATAAAAGTCCAGGACTTTAAGCAAGGCTTCTCGCTTGATGATGTGGAGGTCACAGTATGTCAGTGCTCGGACATTGGCACACGCGTGAGCAAGGGTAGTTTCCTTCCAGAAGATGTCTCCAAACACATCCCCTTTCCCTGGAAAATAGTTAAGATACATACATTCAAGTATCTACACTAGTTTTTTTAATCCTAGTCATGTTCTTTTTTCTAATTCAGTTTCATATGTTACTGATCATCTAACATAATTTAAAGTCTAAGATGCAATACCACATATATACATATATATGTACATATATACATACATATATATGTACATAACAATGTACAACACTTTCATATAATGTGTAAAGTAACATCATCCTAAATTCAGTCTTTGATGGAAATCTAGAATGACATGAATAAATGAAATCCCACAGAGAAGCCAAGAACCTCATTTTAAGAAATAGTTTCATTACCTTCTGCCACCTTAACTTCTCCCATTCTGCCTAAAAGGAGCAAAGGTGACTTCTTAGTTTCATCTTTTCTTCTGCTCCTTCTGGTAGAAATGACAGTAAAATGCAATATGCAAGAACCTCCTGTTATAGCTTTATAAATCTGGAACTGACTTGACATGTATTAAACATAAATTATTCAGCACCTAGGTCTTGTGTTGCAGGCAAACAAAAGCTCACCAAGACTGATTCTCCAAGGAAGCCTTTCCCTCTTCACAGAGCTAAACCTCATGCACAGCTTCAGAGCCCCTGGAGAAAGCTCCAGTTCACAATTACGGAGCCAAAGAAACTAAGCTGGCTAAAACACAGAGGTCCAGATTTGCTATGCCATAAACAGTTCCATCAAGAGTGCTATACTGTAGTCAAATGTGGATGTTAAAATAATAGAACACAGAAATCAACTATTTACTTCAGAGCAACACCCACTGGTGACCTGAAATCAACAGTTCACCATACTGAGTCAAGGGTACTTAGCTGCCCAAACACAGGGAAATGAGGAAGCTTCAGAGTAAGTGCTAAAAGCTTTTTCTGCTGAGGCAGTTCCATTGTGCCTCTGTCTTGTGAAGGGCCATCAACTGTGTTCTCCATTCTTCTGCAGGAAAGAGAAGGTTTTAAAGTGGAAAAGATGGGGAATATATTCAGGAGGGGAAAAAAAAATTTTTTTCTACAGTCCCTCTTCCAAAGTGTACTGTATGGATCACAATAAACTGTGGAAAATTCTGAAAGAGATGGGAGTACCAGACCACCTGACCTGCCTCTTGAGAAATCTGTATGCAGGTCAGGAAGCAACAGTTAGAACTGGACATGGAACAACAGACTGGTTCCAAACAGGAAAAGGAGTACGTCAAGGCTGTATATTGTCACCTTGCTTATTTAACTTACATGCAGAGTATATCATGAGTAACGCTGGGCTGGAAGAAGTACAAGCTGGAATCAAGATTGCCAGGAGAAATATCAATAACCTCAGATATGCAGATGACACCACCCTTATGGCAGAAAGTGAAGAATTAAAGAGCCTCTTGATGAAAGTGAAAGAGGAGAGTGAAAAAGTTGGCTTAAAGCTCAACATTCAGAAAACTAAGATCATGGCATCCAGTCCCATCACTGCATGGCAAATAGATGGGGAAACAGTGGAAACAGTGGCTGACTTAACTTTTCTGGGCTTGAAAATCACTGCAGATGGTGATTGTAGCCATGAAATTAAAAGATACTTACTCCTTGGAAGGAAAGTTATGACCAACCTAGATAGCATATTAAAAAGCAGAGACATTACTTTGCCAACAAATGTCCATCTAGTCAAGGCTATGGTTTTTCCAGTAGTCATGCATGGATGTGAGAGTTGGACTATAAAGAAAGCTGAGCACTGAAGAATTGATGCTTTTGCACTTTGGTGTTGGGGAACACTCTTGAGAGTCCCTTGGACTGCAAGGAGATCCAACCAGTCCATCCAAAGGAGATCAGTCCTGGGTGTTCATTGGAAGGACTGCTGTTGAAGCTGAAACTCCAATACTTTGGCTACCTGATGTGAAGAGCTTACTTATTGGAAAAGACCCTGATGCTGGGAAAGATTGAGGGCAAGAGGAGAAGGGGATTACAGAGGATGAGATGGTTGGATGGCATCACCGACTCGATGCACATGGGTTTGGGTGGACTCCGGGAGTTGGTGATGGACAGGGAGGCCTGGCGTGCTGCGGTTCATGGGGTCACAAAGAGTCGGACATGACTGAGCAACTGAACTGAACTGAACTCCAACCACAGAGATGAGTGAAGATTAAAGTGAAGATTAAAAAGCTCTTATCATGAAGATTAAAGTCAGAACTGTCAAGAACTAAAGAAGAAGAAAGATCCCTGATAACACTTCAGGCGTCAGACCAATAGAGAGAGAAGATAGCACGCAACCAAAGAAAATGAGAGAAAAAGAGAGAGAGAGAACAAGGGAGACAGAAAGAGAAGCTGAGGTTAAGTGAGATTATAGATTCTTTGCCCACCCCACACAGGAAGTTTGGAAATCCTTATAGAACCAAGAGCCACTCTGGAGTGGAGAGAGAAAACACATATATCATTGAGGAGGTGGTTAAAACCACTATGTGATCAAATGATCATCATAAAATAGCCATAATAGATATTTAATAAATATTGAGCAATGAGATTGCTTCCAGATTCTCCCAGCATTTCCGTTTTAGTTAGTGATGATGACCTTTTAAGCTGCTGATGAACAGTTTAACTGTATGACAATCATATATTTGTTCAAGGAAGGATGATCAGGGACCCGAGAGGCAAATAAGGTGTCTGGGGTGATACAGCATCAAAGCAATCCAAGGAGACTTTAACCATAGAAATTTAAAAGATAAACTCGACCTCCCCTTAACACAGATGAATTTTAGAGCTCCATTTTCTTTAAACTAGCAATTCCAATTATAGGTATTTATTCCAATTGCATTATCTGAAGGACCGAGTTCACTGAAGTGATATTTATAATTGCCAGGAAGGGTAGAAACAAGATAAATGTGAGTAAAAATAAATAAATAACTGATGGAATATAATGCAGTCACTAAATGTCATAATTTTTTTAAGTGACAGCAAATTTGCCTCAGCACAGGAGTCAGGGTGTCAGTCTCATACAAATGACAGAGAAAGGTTCACATTATGTGAAATAATAAAAGCAGAATACTAATTCATATACATAGTATTATCTCACTTTAGGCACCCTTTTCTTCCCAGAAACACACACAAAGCAAATGTATCAAATAGTAGGTTTTCTTGTAACAGGATGATTGCTGTTGTTCAGTTTCAAAGTCCTATCCCACTCTTTGTGACCCCATGAACTGCAGCACTCCAGGCTTCCCTGTCCTTTACTATTTCCCTAAGTTTACTCAGACTAATGTCCACTGAGGCAGTGATGCCATCCAACCATCTCATCCTCTGTGGCTCCCTTCTCATTTTATCTTCAATCTTTTCTAGCATCAGGAAAAGAGTTGGCTCTTCACATCAAGATAATGGATCAGTTTTACTACATCTTTTCATTTACATGTGCTATTTTTTAACCAGAAGAAATCAACTATTATATTATTATAGTCCCCAGTGTTATGGAAATAACAGGACTTTTAAAGGGCTGCTTTGAGCCACTATTATGATTCCTTTTCCCCTATTGTCATTGCTATTCTTTCTATACTGGGTTTTACATTGAAGAGAGACAAATGATTACATTTCTTCCTGAATCATTTCTGAAACCTTTTCTCAAGTTATCATTTATAATACAAGCTCTGACCTATTTATAAATACTCATTACCTTTCAACTATTTGATTTTCATGTATAGCAACAACAATAATTATTAGTGTCTGACTCAGTAATTTTGCTTCTGGGACTCAATCAAAAGATTTAAAACAAATGCATATAGTATTCACTGGAGTGCTATTAATTATAACCTCAGATTGGCAAAAGTAAATAAATAAAAATATTCAAAGGCAACAGAAATCTATAGCAATGTATATTAATTCATGAGAATTAAAACTAGTTTCAGAAATTCTGGGCAAAAATGTAGATCTCATAATGTTAAGTAAAAAATAAAGATACAATTATGGTTACAGTATAGTGAAGTACACAAAAATGAAACTGAAACTCTAATAGAATTTTCTATTAAAAGTCTATCTTGACACTTTCCAAAGAAGACATACAGATGGCCAGTAAACACATGAAAAGATCTCAACATCACTCATTATTAGAGAAATGTAAATCAAAACTACAGTGAGATACACATTACACCAGTCATAATGGCCATCATCAAAACATCTACAAGCAAGAAATTCTAAAGAGAATGTTGAGGAAAGGGCACCCTCTTGCACTGTTGCTGCTGCTGCTGCCAAGTCGCTTCAGTCGTGTCCGACCCCGTGTGACCCCATAGACGGCAGCCCACCAGGCTCCCCCGTCCCTGGGATTCTCCAGGCAAGAGCACTGGAGTGGGTTGCCATTTCCTCCTCCAATGTGTTAGTGGAATGTAAATTGATAAAACCACTATGGAGAACAGATGGAGATTCCTCAAAAAAACTAGGACTAAAACTACCATATGACCCAGGCATCCCACCGCTGAGATATATGCTGGTCATATATGCTGAGAGAAACAGCAGTTCAAAAAAGCACATGTACCACAAAGATCGATGCAGCACTACTTACAATAACCAGGATGTAGAAACAACCCAGATGTCTATCAACAGATGAATAAATAAACAAAGTGTGGTACATATATACAATGGAGTATTACTCAGCCATAAAAAGGAGCAAATTTGAGTCAGCTGTAGTGAGGTGGATGAACCCAGAGCCTGTTATACAGATTGAAGTAAGACAGAAAGAGAAAGATAAGCAGAATATATTAAAGCATATTTATGGAATCTAGAAAAATAGTACTCATGAAACTATTTGCAGGGAAGAAGGAATAGAGAAACAGATATAGAGGACAGACTTGTGGACACAGAAGGGGAAGGAAAGGGTGGAATGAATTGAGAAAGTAGCATTGACATATATATACTACCATGTGTAAAAATAGGCAGCTAGTAGGAAGCTGCTATGTAACAGAGGGAGCCCAGCCTGGCATTCTGTGATGACCTAGAGGGGAGGAATAGAGGTGGAATGGGAGGGAGGCTCAAGAGAGAGGAGATGTAAATATATAGTTATGACTGATTCATGATGGTATACAGCAGAACACAGCACAACATTGTAAAACAATTATTTTCCAATAAAACATCTACTATTCCTTAATTTCTTAAAGAAGAACAATCTTGATGGACACAAAATTATTATGTTTTATTATTCTATGTTAGTCTATATGGTATATTATAGGTTACTATTAATTTATCAATTGATAATAAATTGTGTTAAAAAGCAAAAGGGACATAAAACAAAAGAAAATGCACATAACTATTACAGAAATTGGCTTCAATTGATGTGTTTATTGTTTTCCTTCTCTCTACTTTTTGTTTTCTAAATTTTTTCTAATGAATTTTTTATTTAAAAATAACAAATATTTTCACAGATGTTTTTCCTTATACTTTTTAGTGTGACTGAATTAATAAAGTAGGTACACAGATCTGCAGAACAGTAAATATTCATCAATAATAAGTGTATCATCAATAGATAAAAGATAGTCAATATATAATCATAAATTTCCCCTTGCCAATACAGATCATTTTAAATTGTGGATGCATTCAAATGTCTGTTATATGTTTTATTTTACCTAAACTGATGAAATTAAAATTCTCACCATATTTCTATCAAAATTTTAAACTTTAAATTATTTATCTTTTTTAGTATCATGGGGAAATAAAAAGTCTATGAGGCTGAAAAGTAACATGGGAAGTTAACTGACGCAACCAAAGTAAAATTACTCTCTGCTCCTCTCCCTAAAAAATGTCTAGAGAAGCATAGCAAAATTAACAAACATGGATTATCCTGCTCCAAACATGAGAACTCATGTTACATATAAGCAATACTGATTGTTTTATAACACAGAATTTCCATTAGCATACACAATATATCAATCAGACATTAATCAAACTATTTTTCTTTATCCAGTTTTCCATATCATCTAATAGTCACTC